GCAGTTGAGCCGCGTTGAAATTAATCAAGTCTTTTGTAGCACCATCAACGTTTGCGAATTTTTTATTCCTTTGTTTTCGTTTCATTGCATGGTTAATGACATCCGCTTTTTAATCTATTGTTGACAAATCAATTTGCAGGTAGTGGTTCCACTAGTTAATTACCGAAAAATCAATTAGGATAACCATCATTCAACAAAGTCCACACACAAACTTTAGGTATATAAACAGCTAACCTTTGACTTTAGATTCAGTATCAATTTGCTTCTCCTGAAGATTCTAACCTTGTTAGCGGAACGCGCGTCGAGTGAAATCAGAATATCAGTTTGGTGTTAGGGTAATTGATCTCTAGAAAAAGTTTTCAAAAATCGGTTTGTAAAACCACTCACTACCTCACCTAACCCCACGAACACACGGCACTGATAAATACATATTGTGAAACGGATAAAAAATATTGCCTTTATTCCTCAACTACATTTGATAGCACGTTTACTAACTATTTGGGCGACTACGGGCCACTGACTGTTTTCTTATTTTTATTGCCGTTTCAATTGGGAATGGATAGACTATAAAATCTCTTGAATTTTAAGTGATACTTTTTCAGTACATATAGGTATTTTCATTCGGAGAGACACGTATCATTGTGATGATACTTGTTCATGCACTAGTTGCACCATCGTTTTGGTAACTTGATCAACTCAACTTAAAAATAATAATTCTTTTTTCTGTACATTAGAATCTGGATTCATGACGTAAATAATTAAATCAGTTTTCTGTGATTTCGGGCATCAAACCAGTCGTCGAAAGCTTTTGCTTAAATCGAGTTAACTAATGATGTTTAATGTCGAAACTCCGGAAATAACAGAACCGAGAAATACGTCACGGCAGAGGTCATAAGTTCGGCATTAACTTGATTGGATTTACGACTAGTTGGTGAACAGACTATAAGACTGAGGTTTATTGGATCGAAACAGCGCAAAATTTCATGTAGTTAGATAATTCGATTATCTCAGTTATACTCGTCGCTGCGCCTCGAGATATCTATTGTATGGACAACCTAACTCA